CTGCTTATGAAAACATGCCCCCAAGCCTCCGCTTTCTTATGGCGAAAGCCGGAGCTCTCTAGCTGGCTTCTATCAAAAGTTATTAAAAAAACAACGGAGTCCATTCTATTTTGGTACAGACAGTAGTTTGACAACCTTTTTTAAATAACAATATCAAGATAACATTAAATCAAATTAAAATAATTTTTGTGATATTTTGAGCTACTATATAAACAAAACCGAACGACGTATTTGTCAATCACAAAAATGTTTCTATATGATAAAATGAAATATAATGGTCTTATTTAATATTATTCTGATTTAGGCGGAAAAGATTGCGTCACAAATGATATCTGAAGGACGTTTAAGTGGTTTTGTTGATCAAATTGAATCTGTTTTACATTTTCAAGGTAAGTTGAAACTTCTCTAATTTCTACGTACATCTAGCAGCTGTCACTATTTCATGACAGAGAATTATCTAGTGTTCTTTAGTTAAAATATCTATTGATGAGTGAGATATATAAAATTTGATTTTTCTTTGTAGCTCGTGAACAATTGGCATTATGGGATCGTCGTATTGAAAGTTTTTGTGTTCAAGTAAATCAAGTACTTGACAAATTATATTCCGTTCATCCCGAATGGTGCAGTCGAATGATGGGCACTATTGAACAACAAATGAATGTAGGAGAAACAATAGATGGTTTAAGAACAACAACGACAACAACACAATCAACAACAGCAATGGAGACATCTTAAATATTGGACTTTTTTATTCGAAAATTTTTTTTTGTATTTCCGGTGTGTAACTTTCTTTTTGTTCCATAACACTATTTTTTTTTTCTATAAAATTTTCTTTTTGTCAGACATTTTTCTTGTTGTTAATGTTTTTTATATTGTAATTCAGACGAGAACAAAAACACGCATTGGGTTATATGAAATAAAAATACCAGTGTGTTAATTTCAATCAATTTGTAATTTAAAAAGAAATTTACCAATATAAAAAATTTCATATATCAACAAAATGTAATCAGTACCGGTTTTCGATAAAAAGAATAACGTAATCATGTCAATTTTGATTCTGAAATCATTTTTCATATGGTTTAGTTAAAATGACAATCTATGATTGAACAGATTCAAAACAAGACTAACAAGACATTCAAAACGAAATATTTTAATTTGTTTAAAGTCAACATGAATTAGTCACGGCACGAAAGCGAAAATAGTAGAGAAGTCTAGTCTGGGTTAATTCTAAGAGGCTAAAAGGAATTAGTTACACAGTAGTATTTGTGCTGTATTATTACGTTTGGCATTAAAGGACAAAGGAAAAAGGAATAAAAAATCACTTAAGTTTTATATTTGTTTGAATATTCAGTCTTTTCTTGGATATTAAAGTCAAATTTTTATTCTGTTGTTTTAAAGAAAATTGTAATAGAAAATCAACATTAATGCTCTTTTTGCACTTATTTTGTCATTGTTCATATTTTACTTTCCTGACTATTTAATTGATTTTGAAGTGTTCTTTTATGTTGGTATTTTTTTCTTTTATAAAAAGCATAAATTTTTTGCCTTGAAGTGGCAACAAAAAGTCATCCGTTTCGCTACCGAAATCCCATAAATTTTTATCTGTAAATAAAAGTAGACAGATTAAAGAGATTAAACCTGCGTTAAATTCAAAGAGATGATTGAATCTTTTAAGTTCCCCTCCCTCAGAAATTATCTCCGACACCGTACATTCGATCTTGACAAAAATTTCCATAAATGTTAAGCACAATGAATTACAGGAATGAAAGCTTTGTTTTGTCTCCAAGTCTTGCCGTTTACGAGTTTTCCATAAATGACCCTGAAGTATTTCCCAAGACTTTTTTAATATACTTCAAGTTAAAATACTTCAATCTTGGGAAATACTTCAGGCGTAACTCCCATGTAGAGAAAACGCGATATAAAATGCTCAATTTTAGGACTTGTAGGAAAATGCATGTAACTTTTTGATGCAAGGCCATACAGAGTTGTGCAAAGTCTGATTTTGATCATTAAAGTTTGCTCTACAAATCTACACGCTCAGAAAAAATTGAATTGCATAAATATTCAAGAAAAAACTATTATTTGAAGATCCGGTTTTTCCAGGCTCCGGCTCCAGGCGGGGACCTTAATATACACCACGAATGTATTTATTGCTCTAGAGAAGTTTTCTAAAAGAAAATGCGAGAATGGTCGACTGTGTCTGGCATTTTCTTAGGAATGATGAATACCTTCTTGAAATTTTACTCTTCAGTCTGTACCTAGAACGATTGATGTTTGATATATAAATATATCAATATGAATTTGTAAAAACCATGACTAAGATTGATCGATCTGTCATGTATTTGACGTGCATATCACAGTTATCTACTTTTTTCTTTCAACGATTCAAGCTGGAAGACGGTGATATTCGAATCGGACATGTCGAGTAACAGTACTGACCTAGATTCAGCTTTAAGAGCAAGCATATGTTTTTGGTATATCCATTTCGAATATGATGATCTCCCGCCTCGAAGTATTGTTAGAAAAAAGTGTGTAGGTTCCATAAGTTACATCAAATTGTCTCGAGATTGTTCTTACCAAACTAATCCTTTACCTCCGAAGGACCGCAAACATGGACATTAGCGGAATATCCTAGAATTTTTATAACAAGACGGCGATACGTCGCATCAAAAAATTGAATTTTTTTCTAACGTAAGCTGACTCTATAAGTAAACAGTTGCTAATAAGAAATTTTTTTTTTTTTTATCAAACCTAAACAAAAATATACGAGTTTAAATTTCACTGTGCATAATCAATTGTTGGAGGCAAACAGTTAAGCAAACTCTCAAGGTTGAAGATAACCAGGCGCATTCATTTTCAACATTTGATAATGGCACGTGTTTATTACAGTATTTTAGGTGCAAAAATTGAAAATATTTTCAACAATCAATATGACCGAAGATGTCAAAAGGTCTGCTAAATACAATCGATCGAGAATATTATTCTTCTCGAAGGTCAACAAAAATGAAAATATAAATTCTACTTAATAATTTATAAATCGTTATTTGTCAACAGGTAAATCAAGCAGAAAAAGTATGTTTCCTGCGGAGTGATACATTATGATATCTCACAGCAGCTATCAATTTTTGTTTTTTCCCCGTTTTCAAAGTGGAAAACAATTTCATAAAATCTATCAGGATAAAAATTGATAAAAACTAAAAATATGAACTATTCATATTCACAAAAAATTAGAGAGAATATTAATTTTCTTCTGTAAAATGAGAAACATGAATATGTAATTCTTTTTTGTTTTTAATTTGTATTTTGGTCGCGAACGTAATCCAAATAAATTGTTGAGATAAATAGAAAAATAATCAAAACAACAAAAATATTCTGAATTTTATTTAAATTACAATCAAATTGTTAGACTCAATACAATTCATCGTCTCTTTCTTCTCTTCTATGAGTAATGCTCATCTGTCCACATAGAAACCGATCGCTCTTTTTCGTTGTATTAGTTACAGTTGTTTTATTTTTTTTTCTCACATTAACAAAAAAAATTTGTTATTCTGTTTATATATTCAGCTTTTTTTCTCCGATCAAAGTTTATAGTCTCTGTATTATTCTCTTCAACTACTCTCAATTTAACTTCTCTATTTTATTTAAACTATAGAGAAGAAAAAAATTCATTTTCTTACATCTTTTTTCTTCTAATGCTTGATTCTCTCTGCTCTCCTCAGATAGTCGAATATTTATTTTTTTGAAGAAAAAAAAAAGGTGTAAAAAACATTAAAAGGTAAGGAAAAACACGTTAAGTTCTATTGTGTGATAAGATATAACTAACTTAGAAGAATAGGATCGTACTTTATTAATAACTTATTAACAGATTTGATCATCTATTGAATGATTTTTAGAGAATTAAGTTAAATCATTGTAAATAAGAGAAAAAAAAAATTGATCAGCTGATTACTTTCTTTTTTGACAAAAATGTAAGAAAAGAAAAATATTAATGCTATAAAACAGATGTTTGATGGATTATTAGCACTTAAAAGTAAGAAAATCTTTGATTTTGTTGTTGTCTCTAATGGAATTATTTATAATAATCTTGAAAATATATTATGAGATTAAAATCTTGAATTATTTGATTATCACATTAAATATCTTCAGTCAAGATATTTCATTGTCTTGACAGTAAATATCTTAAAGCTATTGAGTGAACATTTTTATTTACATTTTCTTTCGATAGAGAATGATCATAGTCAAGATGCTAGTAGTAGACTCTTCTATGAACATAACTATTTCCAAGAAATAAAATTAAAAAAATTAATTTAAAATTATTCTAAAAATTTTAAATAAAATAATGATTGAACAATTCAAGATTTTAGTTACAAAAAGTTGTTTTTAATTCGAATAAAGTTATAGCATCGTTGCTCATCTCGTTGACTATACATTTTCTATTCTTCAGTCGAAAAAATAGGGCGTTACTCACCGAAATTATCTATTTCCGTTTTCGTAGACAACCTTTATTTAAATATAATTTTTTGTATTGAACGGTTATATCCGAACATCGATGTACATTTTATCGTCCTATTTATGGATATATTTTTCATAAATTAAAAATAGAAAATATATATGGATTCTCTATGTAAACATAACTTTTGAAATCAAAATAATGGTATACGGCTTTTTTTCCAGAACTGATTTTAGAGACATTGTTGTATAAAATTCATTATTAAGTAAGTTTGATACTTATCATCCAGTTAAAATAAACATTTCTAGTACCATGATTGTTATTGATTTAGCATCGTCAAGACTGTATATATATATATATATATTTGTGATTATTTTATTCAGATTTTTTGTAATTTTTACAAGCAATCATGGCTGAAGATTTGGAATTAAACGATCCTCGTATTCATTTTGTGGCTGATTATGTTTTAAAAACTTTAAAATTAAAATCAGATAAATTTGCTAAAATGTACGGTATCGAAGAAAATAAAGTAATGATACACGATTATTTTGATAAAAATGAATCTCAGATATTAGTTATTCAATTTACGGCAGCTGGTTCTCTACAGCCATCAACAACATTTCCAAATATATTAAAAAATAAATCGTGTTATTTTATTAAAAAACGACGTGAACCAACACCAAAAGATAGTTCATTTAAAGAAACAATTATGTATGGTGATTTATCAACAGCACCACTTGATCAACTATCAGCAATGGTTGATGAAGTAAATAAAACATACATATATTTTATTTTACTTTTGATGTTCTTATAATTTTAAATTTTTTCTATATTTCAGTTGTTAATTCCATTATTACAAAATCCAATGAATAATGAAGCATGGCCAAAAGTATTATCACAAGATATTATGAGACATGCATTAGGAATTAAAAATAAAGT